CCAGTATTTAAGATCGAGCGAGAGAACAAACTTCAAACAGAGCCCCACCCCTATGCCCCAATGGGTGTCATACCCACCGTTTATACAAAACTGAGTCCCCTTGGCCCAAGGATGCTCCAGACTAAATTAGGATAAAATCCCTTAAATCCCTACGGTAGAAGAAGGATTTTGAAGGTTTTTACCTCTATTTCCCCTATTGGGCCCCGCCCCTCTGCCCCCAGGGGGGCCACACCCACCATTTATACAAAATTGAGTCCCCTTGGCCTAGGGATGCTCCAGACCAAATTTAGTCAAAATCTACTTGGCCGTTCAGGACTAGTAGCGTTTTAAAAGAAAAGTTGACGGACGACGAACGACGGACGCTGCGGTATGGCATAAGCTCACCATGTTCTTTCGGACCAGGTGAGTTAAAAACTTGGTAGCCCTTTATGCAAGCATGTTTCTGGCCAAATATCATCACTTTGGACCTTTTGGTTATTCAGAAGAAGTTGTTTAAAGGTTGTTTGAGACAATTGACCCTTGTGACCTTGAATATGAGTGAAGGTCATTCATTTGAACAAACTTGGTAGCCCATCATTCTAAAATGCTTCTGACCAAATATCATCATCCTGGTCCTTTTTATTATTCAAAAGAAGTTGTTGAAAGTTTTTTTCTACATATTTGACCTATGTGACCTTTAATATGGGTAAAGGTCTTTCATTTTAACAAACTTGGTAGTCCTTCATCCCAGCATGCTACTGGACAAATATCTTCATCCTAGGCCTTTTGGTTACTTAGAAGAAGTTGTTTAAAGGTTTTAAGCATATTTAACCCCTGTGACCTTGAATATAAGACAAGGTCATTTATTTGAACAAACTTTGTAGCCCTTCCTGCCAGCATGTTTCTGGCCATATATCACCACCTTGGTCCTTTTGGTTATTCAGAAGTTGTTTAAAGGCTTTTTGTTATAACTCCTCATAACAGAGTTGAATACATGAATCCTTTATATGTGCACTGAATATTATCTTGTAATAATGTTGTTGTTTCAGCAGTATAATAAAAGAAACATGGCAGAGTCTTACCAGGCAATTCATAGTCCAAATTGGTAATTATTTCTCTATTTATCAAGCTGTATACATTTCCCAGGATATAGGTCAGTGACATACTTCTTGTACTCTGCTCTCCATCAGCCAAAACATACTTGCATAACAAATCTGGTTAATCCAGGTGAAATAGTACAGAAGATATGCCCTGGACAGGATAAGGTCAAAGGTCAAACCATAGGTCACCGTGACTTACTTTTTGTACTTGCATACTACATCGGGTTACCAGGGGTGGGGGATGGTAGACAAACTTTTCAGACAGAGAGAAGGACAGACAGAGTTCAACCCTATAGCCCTCTCTCACAATTAGGAAATACTCAAGTATTTCACAAGTTTAAGTGTGCACAACATTGTTGATGTCATTAAAGGAATGTTTATCCTGTGAAAATAAATAAATCAACAATATCTTTTTAATTTATTTTACTATTTTGTACAGAAGATAAGAGTAAGATAGCCCAAAAACCAGGTTCAAAGCATCACATTTAAAATTGAAAGTTATGAGAAGTTGAAAATTGGAAAAGCTTACTTTAAAGTGAAACATGAAGTCCGCTCTGGCAAGACCAATTAGGGAATAATAAATACAAGATGTTGATGTCAAGTTTTTATATAATTTTTTATATATTTACATTTATCATTATAAAATTACCCTTGGACTCCATAATGAAGGATTTCCATTATATACTGTATAACATGAAATGTTCGTTGTGTATAAACATTCGTGTTTTTTTGTGGTTGCTATTGAAGCAAGAATATAAATACAACAAATTTGAATGATAAACCATGAAAGTTTGTACCATGACAAGATCTAAATGGCTTCAAGCCACGATGGAAAGTATCCACGACCATTTCGTGTTACAGTATGTATTATCATTTGGGTGCATTCAGCAAGTATCCCATGTTTGTTTAGGTGTACAGATTACAGGTAGATTATCTCTAAAATGTAGTTTTTATTGAGACTTTGTTATATAGGGTCCCAGTCAGCCATGCAAGGGTTTTGTTTGGTACTGTAATATCTTGTTACAGAATAATTATAGGATATACTATTCTTTCTGTTCCACCTTAATAGGGTATTCCTGTATTGTTGAAGGTCAATAATTGTCTGTAACTCTATACACAGCCGAGGTAGCTATATGATGTATTCTCAAAGACCTGTCAATTGTTATGATTTGGCAAGCTGAAGAAAAAATTGCATTACAATTCAACCTGTGCAACCAGACATTGTACATCTTGTTCGTTTTTCTGAATGTGATGGACAAATTCTGTCATCACCTACCAGCATTTTATTTCACCGACACTAACAAATACTTTATGCTAAGATTTTTAACAAGAAAAAGTATTGTAATGTCTACACTTATGTGATGAAGAGTTTTGTCAGCACAAACAAATACTTTATGCTAAGATTCTCAATAAGAAGTATTATAGTGCATTCATTTCATTGTGATAAATGTTAAGCTAGCACTCTTATTAACTTATTCACCCCTGAAATTTCATAATGAACTATTCCAACCTTTGTATTGGAAGAGTTCAAATGTGTCTTTAGGGGTGAATGAGTTAAATGTCTGGTTGACTTAATACCTAGATAATTTTTGTACAATATTTAGAAGAAAAAAATGAATTTCTAACTCAATCTTTAAACATAGGCAAAAGATTCAAAGCAGTCACCTTTAAACAAGAATCATGAAAACTCTTTGATATTTTGAAATATTTGCAACTGTTTTAATTGTTAGCCGACAAAAGCACCCTACATTATTCAGAATATGTGTCAACAGTAAAAGCATTGTGAACATTCAAGCGGCTATTTCTGAATTCAATTACCTGTTGTAAAACAGTGAAAACACTGAATTTCGATATAGAGAAGATGACGTTTATAACTTTTTGTCAAACTAACAATGCTTTGAATAGATCAATGTCCTAACAAAGCTTTTAGTCCAAGTACAGTATGTATTAAGCTTACACACACATACATACATACATGTATTGAAGTCCAAATACGGTACTAATTGACATTGTAGTGCTAAACTCTAACACACAAACATGTACCCATGTATTTAAAGTCCATGTATGGTACAACATGTAGGACCTTTGTGAATGTAGCTAAGTACTTTGAACCCAAATGCAGTTCAATGTTACGATTTAATATTGTATTAAGTATGAGATCAGATCCTGTAGTTAAGCTCCTTGTTCAGTAACATTTATACATAGGGTGGTATCATTGTTTTAATGGAGTAAATTAATATATCTGAAAGTTGAGCATTATTCTATAAATAACGTATGTGTATAATGTAGAAACTTATGACAGATTTATAATTATCACTTTGTCGTTTTCTTACCACATTAAAATGTTTTTCCTTTCCTGATACGTATCCAGATAAGAGTGCTAATATCACATGCTTATCAAGTCTATGAAACAAGACATTAAGTAAGAGCATTATACAACAATATAAATTGCATTAATTTTATTACACACAGAGCATACATTATTGTCAGTTTTAATATGCCTGTCTCGTGATTTTCGAACTGGCATTAAGATTATTTATAAGTGAATATTTTGTCAATCAATAAAAACAGATTACCGCTGCCCAGTTACATATAATTTTTAAACAAAAAAAAGGTTTACCTTTTTCTTCGCCTCCATAATCAGATAAAAATGGGTAAGGTCAGGCTAACATATTTTTTTAGCGATAACTTTAATCTGAGGAAAGTTTCAACATCAGTTGACTCCATTTAAGAAATCCAAACCCATTAATCCATTGCTGTTGGTATGAGTACTATGATAATTCAGTAAACGGTTCGTAAAGTCAATATCACTCAAAAAGAGGCACCTCCCACTAATGCCAATAGGATAATATGACCTCAATTTTTAGTACTATCTGAGGTCATAATCAAAATTTCGGATTCAATTACATGAAGTATTCTACGTATCAGTGATCCAAGATTGACACGTTTTGACACTGGAGTAAATAGTATGCATGTGTTATTACATGTATTTAAAATGTTTATATATTGTTATGAGTCGACACCCATACTCATTAGTTCTCCCAATTCACACTTCCGAATAAGATCTACATCCCATCCATGTACGTCAAACTCTTGCATTACATATACATATAGATTATATTTAGAATGCATGAGCCCTGCCACAGACTATCACAGGTCTTATGTTAAGATGTTGGCCATCACAAAGATTATATATACACATTCAGCGTGATTGTACATGGCTATATATTGTTATTGAAGAGTTTCCACAACCGTTGTATTATAGTCCAATGCATTCTTTTACGAATTATATGACACTACAGGTCCTCTTGTGAAATATGAAACAGACGTTCTTGTCTAGACAAAACATGAAGCATTTCTTTAAATCCTTATACTGTACGTGTCATTCTGTCTAGTATAGCAGTAGGTTAATTCTTATGCATTATTTTTATTTTGGTAGGTCAAAGTTCACACTCTGTCAGTATTAACAATTGAGCATTGTATTGGAGCTGCTACATACACAATTAAATTGTCTTCCTTTTAAACAAGGTAAAGGACACCAAAGATATATAATTATCGCTTTGTCATTTTCCTACCCCATTAAAGATTTTTTCATTCCTGGTACTGTACGTGACAAAAAAAACAAAAATAAGAGTGCACTACTTATCACATTATTATCAGGTCTATACAAGACATTAAAGTAACAGCATCATACAACAATATAACTTACATTAATGCTCTTTATACCCAGAAATTGTTGGAAAAATAATCAACTCAGACCCCAAACGACCTTCGCTAAAAAAAAAATCAACATTATCTCACTCTCGTTATATATTCCACCATAATAAATAAACACATCAAATAAATTGATTATTTCTTCATTTAAAGAAAAGCAGCAAAGATTTCTAACGATTTACATCTATCATTATTGTGTAAACTCACCTTCTTGTCCCCCATCAGAAGACAGGCCCCTAGAATTTTGGTGTTTAGGACCATGGTCCTCATGTTCTGTGTGACATTGGACATGTAATCATCATCAGTGCCCAGTCCTGGTAGACTATCATTGTAGCTACCATTATTATTGTTTATGAGTCCGCCAGAGGCTGACCGCTTCAGCTTATTTCCCATCAAGGGAAACATGATTGAAAATTATATCAAATGTTATTTCTCATATATGCGTAATAGCACAAACCTTGAAACACAAATGTAAATTCACTTATTGAAGATTTATCACATATGAAACATTTAATGGTATTTGTCACATGAGATAAACAGTCAAAATTTGAAATACAAACTTAAATCCAAGTCTTCATTAATTCTGTTCAGTTTCTTCAATTTTTCCCAAGTAAAAGCTTAAAATGCTGTTCAAAACAGTGAAGGCAAGTGATCTCCACTACATAAATTAAAATTTGACAACTTTCCGACAGCATTTCTTCAAATCATGAGGACATGAGCACACAAGGAAGTAATTCAAAGCTGTCTCTTGATTTCAGGCCGAGTTTTCATCACTTAGAGTGTGAAACAGTCACTTGATTCTACAAAGATGAAGTCCCAGTGAAATTATCACCTTGAATCATTCCCTACTCAGACAAAACGTGACGACAGCAGACACACTTGGGATTAAATCCACAATGAAATAATTACTTCAATTAAGGTTTCCAGACTTAATAAATGTGTGTTATAATCACAGCACGACACATGTACATAGTGACAGATTTCATATACACAAGGTAAATAGCTATTTTGCTCCTCGCATTAAAAATAAAATCCTACATGTTCAACTATGACATTTAAAACTAACCAACCATATTAATTGCAGTGACTGAGTTTTTGAATAGGTGAAATTCTATTAAAGAGCATACAATGAAGAATATTTCAATGTCATCTTCCTCTAACGACAAAATTAAATAATAAATAAAAAAAATCTCTTCTTCCTTTCAACGTTAGGCAACACATCAAAATGGTATCCTGAATATCTATAGTAATCCCTAAAAACTTTACAACAGGAGCGAGTGCGGGTTGTATTTCCGTATATCATATGCCAAGACAACAATATATCAACCCTGGTACAGCAGTCACATGTTGATCATGAAAACATCTCCAAATCGGCTGCACAAAATTATGTAACAGGTATACGTAAATCAGAAAGCTCAGGTTTTACCAGTCCATGTCTACAGACTTACAAACGCTCTGATAAAATCCTCATTACAGAATGCAGTGAAAGCTAGGTTTAAAACTCCTTTTTAAATCAAATTCTAAAATAAACGTTTTACAAGTTCAGAAATGTGAATGCATGTACATGTCACTTTTTGCGAAACACATTTTACAGGCAGCCTTCTCACAATATTGTCAAACTATGTAAAGCACCTGTGTCCAGCAAACACACCATCACCACAAGGTGACGACTAAGCAGTAAGCCAACGCAGATATCGTCAACCCATTGGTATACATTTCCTACAGTGGAAATCTAAAATAAATCCCTAGTCCACAACTATATATGCACACACACAATGACCGTGAATCACCCACATAAATCTCATCAGAAGCGCAATAATGTAAAATCCAGTCGGCCGAATCTTCGAAGAAAAATTGCATATATATTAAAATTGTTTTATCATTTGTGGGTGTTTCCGCAATTTGATGGTTTAGCTTTCCTTTTGTACGCCTGACAGTTTCTTTTTCATCATGTAACTGTCAGTCAAATCACTCGAGCTTTACTATACACCCTGAAGGTTGTGTTTGTTAAATTTTGTCAATCAACCGTACATATTCAGCAATTAAACTTAGATTCCATCCTGTTCATGAATGTTTTTTTGAGATCTCACAATTGATTTTCCAGTACTTACACCTGTGAGTATACTAAGTAAGTGCTGTGTTGAGTTCTCAACATGATGATGATTGCTTTATCAAAAGAAAGTACCCCATTAAGTCGTTCAGTACTTGTTCCGCAATAAGGGAAAACAAAATATACACAATATTTACAAACAATTTGTCAAACTCGACAAATTTCTTGATAAAGAGGAAATGGAACCTCTTACAATTTAGGTAGTGTGAATGACCGTTGGCGTTACCATAGATTTTAATGAACACAGAAAAGATGTTTTCAGAATGTAACAGGATATACTACTTACTACAAACAGGACAAAAGTTTAATGTAAATAACCTTTTGCCATGAATTTTAATCGGACAAATTTATCATTTATCAGTAATAGGGAAGGAAACACTTTAGCACCTTGTGTACGTATCAACAGAATAATACAGTCACTTCTAGTAGGCACGTCAGTGATACAGATGTATCTGTCAAGAAGTAATTAAAATTGTAGCTACAGGCTAACTAAATATTCCTCTCCCACTACAGTTCTTAAGAAAAACTGTTCATCCATTTTCAGAAAGAGAAAAATTGTTATCAAAGTAATGAAATCAAAATGAATCACAATTTCACAACTACCTTGCTTTTTCATCATGTGAACAAGTTTCATAAATATCTTTCAAGAAGGGAAGTAGCGGTATTTTAGACAAAATTTATTAACGGACGATCAGGAAAAGGGAAATAACTCCTATGGAAATAGTGGAAATTCAAATAAAACTATGCTGGGTAATGAAGATGAGGACAAAGTTTCATAAATATCAGTCGAAAAATAAGTACATTTAGAAGTGAATATGGTAAAATCTTATATAAGGATATTTGGAAAAGAGAACTAACTCCTAAGAAAATCTTTGTAACAAAAAGTCCATTAAAAGCAGGTAACTTCCTGTAAAACCAGTTATGTTTATCAAAGTTCATAAAAAATAGTCAAAAGTGAAGCTGCATTGTTCGATAAACTTTCATAGATCTATAAACATGCACACAGACGGACACCTTGATTCCAGTATGAACACTAAAACACCCTACCCCTTTAACATCATTGTTAGGATATAATAAAAAAAAATAACATTTCAGAACAACCTGATTCTTTTTCTCAGTAGTACAATATACTACAAATACTACTTACATACACACAGAATCATGACCGCAATTTACACTATTTTACATGAGAAAATTTAGAAATCATCTCATCGTGACAAGTCCATCAAAACTCAATAACATCTATACACTGTACCTTGATATCTTATTTCAAGTTTTTAAATTACAATTCAATCTCCTAGACGTCACTTTATGCAGGCATGCATGAAAAATCTACGCAAGGCGTAAGATTTCCACTTGATGGATCCGTATGATATAAAAGATAGGGTGTAAAGAACATAATGGTATGGGCATTTAAATTCTGTAACTATCATTAACCTTTGGTCTCATACTTTGGTAGATTTTAAAAGATCATTATCAATATACTACTATTATTGACTTTTTCATTAAAAGTTAATAAAAAATCATTTATACCAATTTTGAAACAGCAAAAATATCTTCTCTTTGCCAGCTATGAACATTTTGTGTTGGCAAAACTATTTCCCCTACCTAATTCAGGACTTTGTTTTTCTTAAATTCTTTACCTAATGACATGTTCCTTACCATTATGAAATCCTAAACTTTAAATTAAATTTACCTTTATGCCACAGGTAACCAATACCCCCCACCCCCAAATAATGAGCTGAAAAAAGTATGAGGCACACCTGCATCTGTTAGATGTTGCATCATATAATGTTTCATGAACCTGCTTAAGACTTTAAGAAAGTATAGCCCAAAAACAAATGTTGTTCCTAATTACTGTTGGACAAAGTTGAAAATATAGGTCACTGTGACCTTGTTTTCGTCCTTGACACATCTGCACTGCCACCCATAGATAAAACATGAACGTTAAGTTTTGTTAAACTGCATTGACAAATTAACAAACTAGGGCTGGGAAACAAATCCTGTTTGATTATGGCATAGTAGAAAAGAAAATATAGGTCACTGTGATCTAGATTTATTGTGTGAAATACATTCCCCTCTGGATCCTTCATGAAAGTACACAGGATTTATGGCCCAGATTAGTTTCTCACAGACATGGACAGATGGACATAAGAATGCATGGACGCATGGACGCATGGACCGATGGACATAAGAAAGCATGGATGCATGGACGCATGGACGCATGGATGCATGGACGCATGGACGCATGGACGCATGGACAGATGGACATAAGAAAGCATGGACGCATGGACATAAGAACGCATGGACGCATGGACAAATGGACATAAAAACGCATGGACGCATGGACAGATGGACATAAGAACGCATGGACGCATGGACGCATGGACGATGGACATAAGAACGCATGGACGCATGGACGATGGACATAAGAACGCATGGACGCATACATGTATAATCAAGTTTAATCCTATATATCCCAAACTTTTTTTCAAGCAGAGTATGAAAAATTTCGTTCAGAACAGACTATAATAAAATTGTTGATCCGTCAATTTAGTCAAAGTCCAGTTCATATAGGAAAGAATTATTCCTCCTACCATCACAATATTACCACCCCCTGTGGATACAGTACATTTATTTCATTCGCTACTTTAGTCTGCTAACATCATTACACTGGTATCTTGTTCAATTTTTGTTTCATTGCTATTAATTATTGTAATATTTAAACATTAATTCAGATTTTTTTATTACAAAATAACAGTCAGTGTTTGCATCAGACTTTTTAAAGTTTGGTCCAGTTTTCTCTATCACTTTTCACATTATCTCTCTTCTTTACTTTTACTCTTTCCCTCTCTCCTATTTCTGTTTTATTCCCAGGGGTGTCAAATAGAGAAATTCTACCTGAAGGGTTTTCAGATTGGACAAAACCTCATTGAGGCTTGGACAAAAAATAAGGAAAATAATCCAATCTTTCTAACTAATAATGACTACTATTATTATATCAGTTTTTAATTTCATCACCTTGACAGTTTCCTCATTACAGCTTTGGGATTGTCCCCTTATTAATGAGGTCAATTGGGCTGTAAGATAGAAATATCTCACACACCTCAATTTCTCTATTGACATTGACATTTTTATCATACACAGAGAAGTGTGAGGAATACGTTTCTTAATTCTTTCCTTTCTTTCCACTTTGTTGCATCTTTTTTTTTTCTCTTTTTTTTCTTGTCTATACATTTTGTAGATCTCATTTCCTTCGTTTAATCTCTTCCGTCACTAACATTTTTTTTCTCTTTTTTCTAATCCAATTTCTTTCCATCACTTCCATTTTTTTCTGTCTTTTTCAACCCAATTTCTTTTCCTTACTACCAATTTCTATCTTTTCCAACCCAGTTTCTATATAAGTTTCCATCACTACCAGGTTTTTTTATGTCTTTCTTACCTAAATTCTTTCAATGTCAGTTTTGTTATTATCTAAATCATTTTTTTATTAGCAAAGTGTACGATTTGAAGTGTTTGAAAACATTGCACTAACTTGTTGCAATGCAGGTTTTAAAATTATACTTTCAATATTGCAATATCCATTTATAGTTTTATCATCCTAATACCAAACTAGATATTTACAGATATACAGTCACCTTAAAAAATATTACTCTTCTGTCTAGATCTTGAACAGTATAGTATACAAATGTTCAAAATATATATTTGTCATTTGCTTTTGAAATTTGACAGGCATCAGTATTTAAAACAGCCAATTAATGAACATAAGTGGTACCTGTAATAGACCAGTACTTACCTAAAGGATCTGAGCTTGAAACGTAGGATTAATTCAATACAATTATTTTTTATGCTGAAGAAAGAGTAGCAGAAATGGTCCTTATTCTCATGATGCATACAACAGTCGCAATCTGAAACAAGAATTGAATGAAAGAAAACATGTTGAAATATATATAAAATACCGTTAATTTGATGAGAAAATAAGACCAAGTTCCAATCAACAGCTTGTTGAGGGTGCTCCCAAAACCGTTTTATTTTTCCATAATGCATATATATATATTTATATATGTGCTTCGATATTCTTACATGTCAGAGATATATATTAATGTAAAGTTAGATGTATATATATTATAGAAGACCTTTCAGGAGTTAGGTGTAACTAGAACACTGACAGGTCCGTAAGGGCCCCGTCTTGTGGCAATTTATAATATATCCCCCATAATCATTAAGAAGCAATCTGTCCATATAGCTGAGCTTGACGTTTAACATTTGGACTTCAAAAAGAATCTTTTTTAAAATATACATTTTACATGTACTAAGATGTGAGTCTTGTTTCCTTCCACCTCCATATTTGCTGGGCAAACAGAAATGTAAATACCGGTACAATACTCATTTGTTAGCTTTGATTTGTTTTATTTCACCTTATATACCTCCTCCATCAAGAGCCAGGGTCAAAGTCAGAGATCCACTTTGTCTTTGCCATTTGGATCCAAATGACCTTGACCATTAATCCAGTGACCTTGATCTTTGGTCAGTTGACTTATTCTTTAATTCCGACCAACTCTGCTTCATAATATCATAACAAAATGTTCATCAGTGAAAAATACAAAACTTGACCTTGACCCTTTGGACCCCGTAACCTGGACCTAAGGTCAGTTGATCACTCTGTGTTAAGTTCTGAACAAGTTTGCTACATAATAACATAAAAAAAGTTCATCAGTAAAAAGATACAATAATTGACCTTGAAATTGACCACGTGACCTTGACCTTAAGTCAGTTGACTCCTTTTTAAATTCAGACCAACTTTGCTTC